CATGGAAAAATACTCTTATTACCAGCGTTTCAGTTATTGTTCATTCTATTTTATCAGTTTTTCTTTAAAAATGCCTGTCTTGGGCCGGCCCGGTGGCGCACTGCTACAGTGCGCCGCTTGGGAGTGTGGCGGGCGCTCCCGCCGAGGGTTCGGATCCCGCATACAGACCGGTTCCCGCTCACTGGCTGAGCGAGGTGCGGGCGCAGCACCTAGGTTTGCGATCCCGTTGCCGGTCCCGGTCCGGTACAGGCGCGACACTGAGGGTTGCGGTCCGTTGCCGGACACGAAAAAAAGACAAAAAGGAAAAAAAATAAAAATAAAATAAAATAAAATAAAAATGCCTGTCTTGACCTAATGAAGTGAGTTCAAGACCCACCGGCTTTACCTGTGCTTTTGGAACACTGTTGTAGAGGGCAGAATAAGCCATAAGCTGGGCTAGACCTTGAATATCACTTCGCATCCTTAGTGTCAGTCTTCCTAAGCAATCTGAAACCCCACCTGTAAAAATCTGTTTTTGTCTAATTAACTCCATTTCGAGGGGCAGCTTGGGAAGGAATGCAATGGCCCCTTGAATCCTCCTCTGAGGCTACTCCACCTGCCTAACTCTTCAGGCAAAAGACCTTGACACCCACTGCTGTGCCCAGAGTAAGACCTGTGAGACCTAGTGGCCCAGCTCTGGGGCTCTTCCCTTCTACCCAGCGTGTGGCTTCTGCCCCTCCAGTCTAGCCTAGACAGCCATGTGATGTTGCCCCATTAGCCTCTGGACTTCCATTTGAACAGCTCCCACTTCTCCTAAGGAATTAGATGGTGGAGACTCTAAGAGCACCTCCATTCTTTCTAATCTTGAGGAAGAATGAATAATAATAATGATGATAGCTGACTTTTATTCAGCACTTTTTCCAGGTCAGGCCCTTTATCAAGTTTTTTGGATCCAAATTTGCTGGACTTTTCAATCCTATCACTGGAGAGCTGGAGGAAGCGGCTCTGTGGTATGTGTACTCAGACATCTCTAGCTGTCAGCCTTCTCACGCCCACACTCGAGAGTGAGGTACATACCAGTCCTTCCAACTATATTCTCTGGGCCTCCTCTCCCAAGCATTTTCTTAAAAGAAGTCAGGGTACTCACAGGTGCTTTCCAAAGTCCTGTGCCTCTTAGAAAAAAATCTAGGTCTATGAAGCTCACTTGGCTCTGCTTAACCTTTTTTGCTTCCCCATGCCATTTACTCAGAAGGCCATATATACCTAGACACATATATGCGTACTTCAGGCCTGAGGTTCCTCACCTATAGGCTCTAGAAATTCACAAACACAACGAACACTGCTATTTGGTCTTTAACTTCAACAGAGTATTCAGCAAAATATGTGGAAAAATATAATTGAAAGATAATGTTCATCTTTCTATGAACTTTTTGAAGTACTCTGGTAATATACATAGACATCGTTGTGA